TATTTCAACAGTATAACAGGGAGAACATAACAGCTGCTGATTTATTCAGATCATCACATAAGTCAATCCTGAATTACAATTTCAGATGTTGAAAATCTAATACACTTAAAGATTGACACAGGTGAACTTGAAGGACAAACGTATGGTGCAAAAAATTTTAGGAAAAGAACTAGAAAGATAGAGTTTCTTTTGGCTTAGTTAACATAGACCATCATTAGAGGCCTGGTCCATATCTAGTATTTGCTCACTTTGGATGCCTGTTTGTGCTATTCCCAAGTTAGCAAGAGATCAACTAGGGTGTGAACATTCAGTGCATTAACTAATATGTGATGATAACATGCAAACTTGCCCTTACATGTGGTAAAAACTCTCACTCCAGATAAGAGGGCAAATTGGCAGATGACATCTGATTTGTAGTGATGTAATTTGGATGATGATTTACTTACTAGTTAAACTGTGTATTTTCTATTTATACATTCTGCATTAAGATGAAGTTTGTGGGTTCAGTCTTGCTGAGCTGGAGCAAAGAATTTTGCCCTACCCTATAAACTCTGCCCTAGCTGGCAGGCAGGAGAGGACGAGCTTTCAGCTGTGGCTGAGGGTGTAGCTCTACGTAGGAAGGAACAGAGAATTTTCTCACGTTGGTTAGACACATAACTTTGTGCCTTAAGGCTGAAGAGTAATACGATTTCTTTCTGTTGGAATAGGATAAAACTTCACTATTTATTATTTTGTATAAAGAGGATTAATTTATTTTCTGTACCAATAGAAAAAGTTTGGCTATGTATCTGTGCATATAATATTTATGTACACATGCATATGTGTATTTTTGTCCACAGAAACTTTCGATTTTTTAAACATATAAAGCACCAGCCTATAAAGTATGAGGGTAACAGTCCTGATGGGCAATTACATTCGGGCAGCTTTTTCATTTCTTTCACTGATGAATTCAGTTTCAGATTATAATTTTCTGTGGGCATGAGCTATACTAGAAACCACGTAAGCAGTATCTCCAGCTGCTGAACAAGTTAATGCATGTTTGACTGCAAGCGCTGTCTTGGGCACTAGCAATCTAAATAACTTAATATCTGTTGTTAAATACAGTATCAGTAGCATCACAGAACTATTAGTAGTTCCAATATGTAATATTAACAAATTTGTAATAAAGACATTATTAACATATCTTAGTAGCAATATACTAAATGTTACTAAGTAGTAGTAATAGGAGTAGTGTAACAGTAAGGTCCTTTTACAAAAGAAACAAAAGCTATACCAGCACTCTTTCTGTGTGTCTTTGTGTCAAGTTCTGTATTTCTTTAAAAGTTTGCTGTTTTCTTCACATTCCTCGGGCTCACCTTCTGCCTTCTTCTCTGCTTCTTTATCTCATACTTAACAAAAGCACACTTGTGTCACATTTCTTATTTTTACACCAGATTACACATTTTGATACCTATTCTACTGTTTCTAAGGAATGTTTCTTCCTAACTCTTCCAAACAACTATGAGGTTCACCATGTTAATAATGTTATTTTCCTTTTCCCTGATCTTTTCCATTCCTCTCTTACTATACCATCTTTGCTGAAGTCAATCTTGGATGGTCCTGAAGGTAACTTCCAGTCTTGTTCTTCAAGATTTTATGATCTTTAATAAATAGTGAAGTCTCTCTTGCTTTCCTCAATCAAAATCAAAGATTTACTACTCACCTACTTTCTATACAGTTCAGCTGAATTATTTCCTGTCATTTGACAAGTCATCAGTCATTCATGATTCACACCTTTCTTTGCTGCTTCTTACACTGTTACTAGTGCATTCCTTTTTAAATTTGAGAATGAATTCAAACACAAAGAAAGCAACTAGATCTCATCTATACACTGATTACAGTTCTACACCAGCACCTCAGTTATGACAACTACTGAAGGTCAGAGTGAGCTGCAGAGCACAAGAAAGCCCCTGTCTTTTCCACTGGTCTTTTTTAAAAATTATTTTTATTTTTTCCCCTGTTTTTTTCCTGCTTTTTTTTTCTTGATTTTTCTTGTTTCCCACTCCCCCCAAAATGTTGCTAATTCAAATAGTTGGATTCTGCATGTGTAGAGTAATGCTGAATAAATCTGCCACAGAGGTGGTCTAAAACTGCACAAGAGCCCTGAATTGATGCTACAGCAGGATGCAGCATTTAATTACATCACTTCATACATTTTACCACTCTACTGCTGTCTCATTCAGTGAATAGGCAGTTATTTAGAGTTCATTTGAAAAATTCACTTCTAATTGCTATTTAGCTCTAGCCTTAAATGAATGCCATTCAAATACTATGTTACATTTTAAAATGTATTATTATTGTATTATTTAATGTAATGTTACATTAAGAAATGTAAAAAATGCTAATTATTAAAAAAAACCCTGTTTTTTAAGCAAGCTCTGCTTACATTGCAACTACTTAGCAGCACAAAACACTTCTGCAAATGCATCTCTAATACACATTTCTCTTAAAAAAGGGAAAATGCATTTAATGGCCAACTTTGTGTGTGTATCCTGGTGCAGCATCCTGAAGTGATTCCATTTAGCTGCCTTATCTGCAGAACTATCATTTTTGCTTCCCATTGTCACCTACTCATATGTTGTCTCCTAAAATATTTTGTAATATATGACAGAGCAGTCCTGTAAGCAACAGCCTCCTTACCTAGACAGTCCTGATCTACTGACTAGTACAGCTTCATGCAAGAGCTGCACGTGAACTTCCTGTCAAGTGTCCTACTACATCTCTACCAGAAACTGCTAGCTCAGGTGCCACAGATTCCTTGTCCAGGTAGTAAGATGTGAGATGGAACTAAATGTAAGTACCTTCTTTCAACCTTTCTCCTTTCCAGTCAATTAACTCAAAATCCCTCCTTTCTGTTTACCACTTCAGCTCAGTGTCATCCTACTATTTCATAACACACACCTAGTCTGATCTTCTTGCCCAACCATTTGATTCCCTCCCAATACCAGAATCATTGTTCAGCCCCTCTAATCTCCTTGCTCAACTAGTCTCCAAACCTTTCTTCCACTGGCTTCCCAATCAGGGTGTCTCAGCCTTCCTCTCTACTTACTCTAGTGCTAAGACACCTCAATTTATATAGCCTTTTTTCACTGATTTCTTCTCAAGCAATTTGTTTCTCTTCTGGTCTCAGTATTGTCTCATCTTAATATGTTCCTTTCATCCCTTATCTGGTTTTATTCTCCAGTCATTCAGATCAATAGGATTATTCTTAAAGCCAACAACTGTTACCTATGCTCAGTTCCTGTGCCCAGCTGTGTTTTGGTGTGGCACAACCATTACAGGAAAAGCCTTTGAGCTTGTGTAGTACCTGATTAACAGATAACTGACTACTCAGTCCACAGGCAGGAAGAGTGCAGAGACTGAAAAATGTCATCTGTAAGGAAATCTGTTGTGAATGATTACTTTATAGGTTGATATACTTAGCAGGAGCTGAGAGAGATCCAAGCCTATTTCATGATGGTCTCTCCAGCCCTGCAGGCAGCTCCTGGCCAAGAACTGTCAGAAAAGGCACAGAAATCTGTTTTTCAAAAGTCAATAATTTGGCAGTGTTAAGCAAAAAAGTGAAGAGTTTATTCAATCATACTATGAGGATGTTGTGTATGGATTGTTAGTGTATAAGCCATTAGGCTCATAGACTGTCCAGTGTCTCTAAAATAGCTAATTAGAAGTGTTGCTATAAAAATTGCCAGCTTGTGAAACAATGGGTGGAGACAGGAATTCAACTCCAGAAACCCACTTCAGTTACCACATTGTTCCTCCATTATCTGTCTTGTTTCAGCAAGGTGAGTGTGTAGCAAAACTGTAATTGAGCAGTGACAAATGCTCAACAATAAAAAAAGTTAAGAAAAATTCTCCAAAAAGTATTGCATATGGAGGAGAAAATCTAATTATCCAAAAAAAATCTGACCCAGAAAACAATGATTAAAAAATGCAGTATTGATCAAAATGGAAGTTCAGTGTAGGTGACAGCAGTTTTCAGAAATATGACAAGGAGAAGAGTTTGGCAGAGTGTAAAGATTGGACTCATTATTAATTTCTTGTAATTAAGGAAATAGAACTACACACAATGTATTAAAATCTTTCTTGTATTACATTACTGTCCTATCTACATTATCGATGTTAGAAACAAACTATAACAATTCAGGTTTCATTTAAGAACTTTTCCACTTTTTGATGGAAAAAAGAAACTTTTTTTTCTTGCAAACATTATTCTAAGTACAATAGAAAACTGAAATGGATTCTTTCTGGCCTTCTATCTTCTTTATCTAACAAAACATAAAATAATACAATATTTGAGATAAGTTAGAAATAAATGTTGAGCAGTGATGTAACATAGCCTTTGCATCTCCAGAAGCTGTACAGGTCAAACTAAGTTCTGATTCACTTCTGGAAGAAAATAAACATGCTGAACAGGAACCATTTTTACACCTACTTCACTCATTCCAAAGAAGATGGGCAAATGAAGCACTGGCACTTAATAAAAGCAGAGAACTGCATTTTGGAGGAAAAACCTAACTCTACATTTATTTCACACAGGCTGCCAAGGATAGTGATTCATGATAGAAATATCAGCATTCTAAACATCACTGTGAACAGCACAGTGAAGACATTTTTCCATTACAATCTCACCATGTTATTCACAAATTTAACTTTCTGTCCAGAATGACTACCTTCCCAATCTTAAATTCCTGGGGCCCTGCAGGAGGTGGGTAGGGAAAGGGCAAGAATGGTAAAGAACAAAGAAATGGAACCCCTTCCTCTCCCTGTTCAGCAGATGAAATAAAGTTTACATCCATTTCAATGCAGAGGCCCCACTCTGCAGACTAAACTCATGGCGTAATTGGCATAATATTTCAGGGAGGTGGAGGTGTGCTTTTTTTTTGAGTGGCAGCATATCCACATTACTTCACCCCCACTGATGTTTCAAGTCATGTGAAGTGACGAAATGTGAAATGGTTCCATCTGGTTGGTATTAGTTATATTGACCAAGTTGGCTTTGGAATAATCCATATCTTTATTCATCACACGTATACACACTGATAAAAATGAGACCTAGCTCAGCTTCAGATGAATACTTTCCTTCTGTTAAAAATCATGCAAGAAACTAATACTCTGGCACAACAGAACTGGCAAAATCTTATCATTTAACACTGATGCCTGCATTAGTAGAGTATTCATTGATCCCCCACAAACTATTTCAAATTCTAAAACTATAAACTGAAAGAGGCTGGATAAACACAAGAGAACGCAGATTTGACAGAACACACCGTATCGGTCTCTGGAACTGACCTTGCTCTACTAGCTAGTACAAGTGAGTTTTCAAATATCACAGTAACATCAAACAAGTGAACAATCTTGCTGAATTTATATGAACTGACATGTCAGGCAAGTGCAAGTCTACAGAATGGACACCAGCACCATAGAAACTACTTTCAAACTTAAATTGTACCTTACAGCTTACATCAACTTACATAAATTAATTTCATTCCTCTGCTACCTGTCACAACACTTGTAAATTGCTCTCCCTGCTATTAATGTTACTGAGCCTACAATAAACAACATGGTTTTCATTTAATTATTAGATATGTTGTTCTCAGAAACCAGCTGGTTGCCAAGTATGCCAAGTGCCAACAGCAAATAATACAGGTTCTTCCTGTTCTAAGAAAAAAGAAATCAGAGCATCTTCTCATTTGTTAACCCAGACTCCATTTAAAATAGCTGTATTCACATGGTTACCAGTTGGACGAAATACTCCATACAAGTTTCTAGCACTCCCATCTTAAATCTATTCCCTAAAACTCAACAGGTTAAAATCAATATTGAGCCAGGATATGATTTGAGAATCTAAACCATTTAGCAATTTTATCACTGCTTTTTATTAAACAGACATTTAATTTAATGTGAAATTGAAGCATAACATATTTTGCCCAAGCAAGTATTTCAGGAGTTGCACTGCAAAAATTGTCAGGGAGTGGATCCAGATTAAAAATTAAAACCTTCCAATTTTTACCTGTCCTCCAATGTTACTTCTCTAAATTATTTCATAATCTGGTTTCATAAACCAGTATAACTGAAAATATGGCACCCTGTATGGAAAGCAGCAGCTGGGCTGAGAAGTGCTTAGGTGAGTACTTCTGCTTAACTCTTCAGACAACAGACCATAGTAAATGGTAAATATGGTAATGGTAATGTAATGGTAAAAATTTAAATAGTAAATATGCTTTTTCTATTCCTAGACATTTCAGTCTTCCATAGTACAGTCTCAAGTTTAAATGGCTTTCTCTCTGAATGTTTTTACATAGATAATGAGAAGTTTGAACCATACCATTAACCATATCAAAAGCACAGGTCTCAATTTGATATTGCTTCTTCAGGGAGGCTATGCATGCCATTATTAATACAGATGACACTCTTGGTAGTTTGCTTTGTTTTCTTCTAAGCTCTGCCTTTTACATTTGAGATACTTCTGAACTAATGTTGTCATTATCTGCTGCCTTGGAAAACTCTTCCAATTGACTTGTACCAAGAATACTGAGAACACAAAGTGACCACAACATATAGAGTACTGAAATACAGCAGATCTCAAATTGCAGAACAAAGAAGGAACTTCTGTCACAAAAGCATCTGATCAGTGTGGATGATTTTACCACAGATATGCTCCCCCATGAGTGCTGTTGGAAACTGATTAAATAACGGATCAATAAAAACCTCATGTTTCAGACTAAGTTCTACTGCAAAGTTTTTTTGATAAAAAACAACATTGAAAAATGAAGACAGTAAATTGAACTGTGAGAGAACTCAATGCATGAGACAAGTTTCCTAGAAGATGGCAGGCATTTGTGAAATTATTTAAAACAAGGTAGAAGATGAATGAAATACAGGATGTGGTACTGGGTAAACTCAAAAAGCGGGGTAAGGACAGAAGATAAATGTAGCAGAGCACAAGCCATGCAAACAACAAAGGTCAGCGTGGCCTAAATAGATGGACGTTGTGTGTACACAGTGTTGGGCTATATTTGAAAGATGGTGCAGTGGAAGGGTACAACCAACCTAAGTTTATGGAGGGAAAAGGATCTGTAAAAAGTCTCAATACTACAGTGCTCTTGATCCCAGCACAGAGATGAAAAGTGGCAGAGGAGAAAAATGTACCTCAAAGAAAATTTCTAGACTTTCATTTTCATAATGATTTGAATATATGACATTTTATTTGAGAATATTACTGATTTTTAGCTTTTTGGATTTACCTACTGTCAAAATATCTGAAACTTCAAAAACAAACAAGTAAATAAAAAACCCAACAAACACCCACCAAGACTGGGCCCTCAACTCTGGGCAATGCAGAGAGCAAAATTTTGATACACAGTAAATTTCATAATGTTTTGCGACTCTGACGTGTATTTTCCAGAGGATCAGAATACACATGGGTTAGTTTACATCCATGTACCGATGCTTTAAAGCACAGAGATTACCAAACCATCCGAGACACACAAGTCAGTGCCAGAGCACTAGATCGCACAGCCCTTTCTCCAGCGCTCTAGAACATGCGAACAACTTGTTCTGAGACCCCAGCGTCGGCACCAAGAGACAAACTTGCCCCAGGTGCGACGACAGTGATGCCGGCCCGGGTGCTTGCGCTGGGACAGGAAAAGCACCTACGAGTAGAACAGGTTCCGCGGGGGCGGGCCGTGCGGCTCTGCCCCGGCAGGGGAGGCTTTTCTATACTCACACTGGCAACATGTTCCTCTCTGTTGAAAGTTAAGCTTGGCAGCTCCTCTCAGGGCCCTAAAAGAAAGACAGTATGGCAAAACTGACATGAAAGTCTTCCTGGAAGGGTTATTTCGCGCTGCCTTTACCCGTGTACGACAGTGGGAACTCACACGGGCGTACAGCTGCGCAACGAGCCGCAGGAGCCGCCAGGCCAAGGTGCCAGAGGGAGAAGACGGGAGCCGGGCACGCCGCACCCTCGCGGCCCCTCAGAGGCGCTCTCCCGTCAGCCCACCCGTCCCCTTTCGTCCGCTGCTCGCGGGACGGGGCGGAGGCTACCGCTGCGGGGACACGGGAGAGAGCGCCGCCCGCCGCCCTGCAGCGCTGCCCGTTGCACGAGCTGCCGCCCCTCCGCTCCCGAGGCGAGCCCCAGCGCGGCGCCGACAGCGCGCCCCGGCAGACGGACGGCCCCCCCCACCGGCCGGCGGAGGCGAGGCCGGGCGCGCCACGCCCCTCATCCCGGCATTCCCTGCGCCCGCTCGCCACGGCTCGGCTCGGCTGCGGCTCTGCGGCTGCACTCGCGCCATGGCTGCCTACAGCAAATATCTCACCGTGCGCCATTCCGCCATTGTCGGCGGCACGGCCGCCGCCTGTGCGCTGCTCTGCCTGCTCAACAAGCGGCGGGCCGCGGCCCAGCACGGGTGAGCCGGGCGGGGCGCGGCGCGGCGCGAAGGGCCGGGGGCGAGCGGCGGTGGTGCGCGGGGCCGGGCGGGACGAGCGGGGCCCAGAGGCCGGGCCCGGGGCTCTCCCTGCCGTGGGGCTCGCTGCCTCCGACCCTCGGGACCGCGTCCTGGGGAGGGGGCGGCATCCGCTGCCCCTGCCTGTGGAGCCGCGGCATGCCCCGGCTCCGCTGCTCAAATTGTATTCGCTTTCTTAGCTTTCCCATCTGCGAGCTCGCGCTGAGAAAAGTTAAATGTTTCGGTTTGTCCTGTTTGTAGGGGTAATAACGGGCGCGGGTTATTCTGGTGCCCGCCGACAGCTGTAGCAGAGATAGCGCCTGCTTGGGTTACCTGTGAGGGCGGCCCACCTGTGTGTGTGTGCTGGGACGGGAGTCTGCTGACCCCTGAGGAGCACTCGGGTACCAGGACGTGAGATGGGTGGAGAAGGTGCTCCATGCTCAGCCCTTGCGTGGTGCTGGCAGATCTGTGGATCTCAGTTGCCGGCCGTGTGCTGAAGACCTGGCTGTACAGTTAGATATCGTGTAATTTGCTCGTCCTGGTGCTAAACACAGATGGTGAAATGGACTTGCTCAATAGACTTAAGCAATTGCATACCTGTAGTTAAGCAATGACCTAGTGTTATTTTACCTAATTCCTTTCATGCAGGTGATATCTTCACAAGTTTCTGAAGTTAGGTAACTTTGTCATATAACATACATAAAACGTGAGCAACACAGGGCTTCTTGGAATTTGTTATGTTATGTTGTTTGCATGGGAGTGGAAACAAGATCCTGAACTGTTGATGATGGTTTGTTCTTCTGTCCGATTCATTGGGAAGGGTGATATTTTCCAGTTATCTCTGCTGAATTTAGTCAAACACCTTCTGTAAAAAGGTGAAAAGCTGTATAGATGAGCTTGAAAGTGGTAAGTTGAGAGGATTACTACAAGACTTTCCTACTTAGTGTATTGTAATGCTGTCTATAAGAAAGACTGGGCCAGGCAGACATTCTAGGAGAATCTAAGTTTGTCCTTCAGACTGAACGTGCTTTTGAAGTGAACCTTTTAATTGTCCACACTTTCCTTGCTTTCTCTTTGTTGAGGAGTTCTGGGTTATGTTTTGTTTAGAGCATGCCTTTAGCTGTAGATTGAGGTCCAATGTAGTTTTGAAGTACACTTAATATACTCCTGAAATACATATAATGTGGGTCCTGGGTTGTCCCTGAACTGTGTTGCAGGTTTCTTGATGTTGATCTGCTGGACTCAACAAGAACAGTGCCTTGAGAGTGAGAGTTGAGAGTGAATGTAATGAAACTGAATTCTAGCTTAAATGTTGAAAATTGTATTTGGATTGTATTCCTCCTGTAGGAATCATGATTTTGCTACATACAGTGTTAAAAATCTGAGTTATTTGTATGTATTAGGTGACCACGCACTATTATGTTATTGTCTGCTGTAAAGCGGAGATGATTCACACATCTAGCAGTTGAATGGAGTTGAGGTGGTCTGACCTAATATGACCTATACCTTTTTCCTCTATCTGTACTACAGTTATCCTCCTACCTCTTTGTTACTGCTGTAATCTGCCTCTCATACTGTTTTGCTTTCTCAAATCTATCTAGAAATGCAGTTTCTAAAATAAGTACCATGTTGCTAGCTAGTTTGTACCTATGCAACTACTGCTTTAGGCTTTTGAGGTGCTTTGTTGCATAGCTCTTAATACTGCTGTTATGCTGGGGCTGTGAATTCCAAACTCTACATCCACCATTCAGTTGTTTCATAGCCAGCTATGCTGTCCTTTTTTTGGGGGTGTTATTTGCTCATCGATCCTCCTTCTTTTCTCCACATTTTCCTTGTGAGGCAAACCTTGCCAGGAGCATTATAAAATGCTGCCTATCAAGAAAAGGCAGTAAGCAAGTTACACTGCCTACACCACAAAAGCAACCACATATTACTGTTGCCTCATCCTCTTTTAGTCTTGTTAGTTTAAGTGTCTTTCATTTCCTAATGCTTTGTTGCTAATGTAAATTATAGCATACTTTTGGAAAGGACTGTCACTGTGCCAAATTTTTATATTCCATCATACTTGTGCTGGTATACAATACAGACATACAATACTGACAATACAAATAAATCTGCGTGGAATAATAGTTAAAAATTTCTAAGGCCTGGCATGCCATCTAATTTTTGTGTCCACTTTGGAAAGATGGAAAAAAGTGGCTGTCCTGAATTTTACTTTTCTGTAAGGAGAAGAATTTTTTTGTCAATCTAGATAATCTAGATTGTGGCATATTTGCAGCTTGAGGCTAACTGAAGTGTGTCAGTAATGGCAAACTGTAGTGTTATGTATGTGAATGCCTTTGTTTACCTTAGTATGTAATGTGTGAAAATGTTGTCTTGTGTGTGTCACGTGAATTTCAGCTTCTTGAATTCTGGAAGGTGAAATTGTATGATGTATATCAATATTGTGGACTTGAATGGAGACTAGCATTTTGCTGTGGAAGTGCAAAATGCATAGGCAGAACTTACTGTCAGTGTATTTCCTTACACGTATTTTGATCTCATGCTGATATACTATTATATCATGTTTCCCTGATATAAATGTCTTTTTTTAAATGTCTACTGGAATGCTGTGGTGGTTCTATATTACTGCTGGCCAAAATTGAGAAGTAAAACAAGATAAAATGCAAATTCAAAAAAGCAACACAAGTGACTGCCAAACATAGCAAGTCAAGTGTTTGTTTGTTGAATCTGTAACACCACAAAACAGACTGGCCTTACACAGACTTCTGAGACTGTGTGTGTTACTTTTGATAGGGAATAGTCAGCTATAGAAACTACTGTAGGAGGAAGAGACAACTCTCATTTCTGCTGTCAGGCAATAGGTTCGAAGTCCAGTACAACTCATATCAAGTAGTGAGGTATGAATAATTAAGCTGGATGTTACACTAGCCTACCTTAGTAGGTCAAAGATCATGTAATTAGTGTTAGTTGGCTTAGTCACAGCTGTTCTTCTGTAGGACCTATTACATTGCTCATCAGTTTTGCAGAGCTGAGAGGCTGTATCTCTTGCAGTTGACAATAAATTTTAACTACTAATTTCTAAAATCCCCCAAAATAGCCCAGTACATAACTGCTGGCTTGTAGTAAGAAGCTCAGTGGTATTCCACATTGCTTTCTGTGCTTTAGTCAAGGCAGTAAAAATGCCCTGTTTTTCCATTTGTGTTGCTCTTCTCAAAATCAAGTCTGTTTCCTTGGAAAACATTTCATTACTTGGGAGGAAGGAAGTTGTTACATGTAAATGCAATAATGACCTGAGCTGTGGTGTTTGGAGTGCTTTTATAGTGGAAAAAAATATTGTCCTGTTTGGGAAACTACATAATTCTGTGTATGTAGTACAGGAGAAACCAATCATGACTTTAATTTGTCAGGAGCAATTGTTACAAGTATAAAGGATTTCAGCGCTGATGGGTTTTTTGACCACTGAAAAACTCGCTTCCATTTAGGGAAATTACTCACAAAAATCTGCATTAAAGACCAGTGATTCTATTCCCTCCATTCCCTCTAATGAGTGTTGGAGAAAAATTTCAAGAACAGAAGAAAGAAGGAAGACCAACGGAAGTCCAATCAAGTAGTCTTTGTACTTTGTCCTCTCTCTGCTGAAATGACAGCAAAAAGTTTAATGCCCAAGACCTTGGGCAAATGTCAGTGAGCAAGATCTGAAAAGGCTGGTTTTTGGAGCTGGTGTTTTCTTTTCAGTAATAAACAGTACTGAAATAGGACTACTCAAACAATCTGTAGCATTTTCCTAACTGATGCTGTGTTCTGGTGCATTATGAGTACTGTTTAGCTGTATGCAAACACAAATATTTCCTTTTAGTATCTGCTGTTACTATGGGATAGCAATTTGTTGCTAGGAATTACTATTTTAATTGAATGCAGATGGCTTCAGATTTACTGAGAATGCATGAATGTAGTTTGTAATTTATATTTTTTGTGACATTAAAGAAACCAACCCAACCAGGGACTGAAACAGCTGTAGCAGTTTGGTTCATGTAAACTTTTTTCTTCTTCAAACACAGACTGTAAGCTCATATTGGATACTGTCAGTCAAAAAAAATGGTAGATAATGAAATAGGGTTATACACAGTATAGGACTGACTGAAAAAGGAAGGAAAAAGGAAAACCTATGCTGTATAATGCTTAAAGTAAGATGAAGTTATTTTTCATTTGCAGAAGTCTAACCCCACGTCTTATGAGCTTTGTCTTACATGTTAGACATCACTGCTTAGAACAAGAAACTTAAGATTTGGTTGCTTTAGAAATAAAACCTTAGTGGGTGGTACGTAAGTGAGCTGGTTGTTTGTGACTCTCTCACTCTAGTGGAAATTGTTCCTTAGTCTCTTTGTAGTTGGAAGCGAAGTACTTGCACAGATGGAGAGCGTATTTGGATTATTTTCAAAAAGTATTGAACACATACAGGTTTCTGCTGGAGAAGGGACCTGAAAGGAGTTTGGAGCTGCGAGATTAGGGAATGAGAATAAGCTGAATATAGTAGGAACTTTTAGTATATGGAAAGTGACAAGATGTTTAGAATCTGCTCCTAGATGCACTTGCCTTCCCCTATCACCCAGTACATCCATTAAAATCCAAGTGGATGCTGGTGTATAGAAACTTAATTTTGTATACATTAAACCTTTGAAATCCAAGTGATTTCTCCCCCTTCTTTGAAGAAAAAAAATATGCTTAAAGGAAGAAAAATAATTGCCTGGAGCTTCAGAGATTGGATTGGTCCAAAGTGAGGAGTTGTTGATGCAATGAATGTCAAGCAGGCTTTTACACAGGTCAGCTTAGGTGATGTGTGACTTCTGCACTTTGCTGTCACTGGGCTTTTCAGCCTTCTTC